GGAGAAGGAATTTTCAGCATTGCACCGGCCCAGGAATAAGCCCATCTCTTTCTTCAGTGTTCCGAGACTTGAAGCCAAGGCTTATCCTGTACATTTCCCAACTGGCGTAAACACGTTAGATGAATCCCGCCGTGTTGCACTTTCACCGAGTAGGTATTTCAATGTACGACTGTTCTCTATAGATACTCGCTTTGCAAAAGACCAGAGTTACCTTTTCTTTGCTCAATTTGTTTACAGAAACTAATATGGCCAATGATAGCATGTCCATTCAGACAAGAAAAGGGAAACCAAGCACCAAACAAGGGAAAAATATTTCCAGCAAAATGCTACAGGACAAAGAGGAGTTGGACAAACTCATACAAAATAAAGAGGCCACTCGTTTCATGCAGCCTTTAAGAGGAACTCCTGCTTACTGGGAAAAAGGATTACGTGATTTGCACGCCATGGTGAGGCAACTTGGAAAGCCCACTTTCTTTTGCACGTTCTCTGCTGCTGAAATGAGATGGCCAGAAGTCATTGAGGCGATCAAAGCTCAACATGGAGAGCAGGTAAGTTTTTCTGAGCTTGACTGGAATGCGAAGTGTGACATTCTTAGGAGCAACCCTGTCACCGTCATGCGCATGTTTGAAAAGAGAGTGGACGCATTGTTTAGAGACCTCATTCTTTCCCCTGCACAGCCCATTGGACCAGTTGAGGATTACTTTTATCGCGTGGAATTTCAAGCCAGGGTTCACCCACCCCATATACATGCTGTGATATGGATTAAGGATGCACCTGAAATGGAAGACCCTGCATGTTGCGGTGAAGTCATAAAGTTCATCGATCGTTACATATCCTGTCAGTTGCCTGATGAAATCAGAGATCCAGAGCTCCACAAAATTGTAACAGAGGTTCAAATGCACAGCAAAAAGCACTCAAAGTCTTGCAAAAAAGGTAATGTTGAATGCCGATTTGGATTTCCCAAACTACCGATGGACCGCACTAGAATCACCGTCCCAGTAATTGACTTTGATCTCGAAAATGATGAGGAAAAACCAAAACAAATTAAGCAAAAAGGTAGGAGAAAGTCCAAAAAATCCAGATCACTATTCATCTCAAACCTGCAAAGAGAGGCTAAGAAGAAATTGAAACCAATTAGGGATTTACTGAAGGATGAAAAATCATCTTTTAGGGATTTGTCAGAGTTACTCCAGGCTTGTAACATGACCAAAGAAGAGTACATTGGCCACGTCGATGCTCTCACTTCTGGAATGGTGGTAATGATGAAACGTGATCCTAAAGATAGTTGGGTGAATGGGTACAACCCTGATCTTTTGCGTGCGTGGAATGCCAACATGGACATTCAGTATGTGCTTGATGAGTACAGCTGCATCGAGTACATGATGTCCTACATAGCCAAGCCAGAGCATGAAATGGCGCAATTCCTCAAATCTGTTGTTGATGATTTAAAGGCGACCAATGTTAGCGAACGCGATGAAATGAAAAAGATTATGCAGGCTTATTCAAAACAGAGAGAGGTTAGTGCTCAAGAATCGGTTGCGCGCACTTGTAGCCTACCTCTCAAAAAATCCTCGCGTAATGTTCTTTTTCTTCAAACAGATGAAGACGGTGTAAAAATGAGCCTTCCAATGAGTAAACTCGTGAACATGTCTCCAGATGAGGAAAATGTGTGGATGACAGGATTGCCGGAAAAATATCTAAACAGACCAGAAACGTTAGAATTCGAACACATGTGCCTGGCAGAATTTGCATCAGAATACCGCGTTTTATATGGCAATCAAATTCAAGGGCCAAATGCTATTCCCCTACTTAATGATGCAGGATTCATCCAGAAAAAGAACGATGGGCAAACCTGCAGTTATCAGATTTACTCGTTTCTCGGAGAAAAAAACACCCGAAAAATTTTATAGACGGCTTCTAAAGTTATATTGTCCACACAGAAGAGATGAGGACCTTAAAACTGAGGAACACACAACCTACGAAGCATTTTACAACAACGGTTTCCGTGGTAGATATCAGGCTAAAAAGTATGTGGATTTCAACCGCAAAAGGTATGAAGGGCAGGGTAAAAAAATTGACAAAATTATGGAAGAATTGAAAAAGCAAGGACCGGTTCGTAATGCTTGGAACACTTTTGCGCCAGAGGTTGAATTAGACAATTTAGAATGCGCTGCTGAGCGACCACCATTTGAAGAAGATGAAGAGCAAGACCCTATTCCAGATTACGAAATTGATGTCAATATTGGAGACATGCCAAAAATTGAAGCTCCAAAATTGAGCCCTGATTTCATCAGACAAATGTACAGGAGTTAAACGAGACTCAAGCATCCGTGTTTTACACCATTCGCGATTGGTGTCTGAAGCGCGTCTGGGGTGACAACCCAGAACCTTTCTTTTATTTCTTGACAGGAGGAGCTGGCTGTGGTAAATCTCATGTCATCAAATGTGTTTACCAGGAGGCAACCAAGCTCTTGCGCCAGCTTCCTAGACTTCTTGATATTGGTGACATGTCCAAGCCCACTGTGCTTCTTACAGCTTTTACTGGTACTGCTGCGTACAACATATCGGGGAAGACTTTACATTCCATCTTGAAACTACCCAAAAGTTTAAAACCACCATACAAGGGTCTTGGAAATTCATTGGATGAAGTGAGGGCAGTTCTTTCTAGTGTGGAAATCTTGATCATTGATGAAATCTCCATGGTCTCCAAAGACCTGCTTGCATATGTTCACTGGAGATTTCAACAAATAAAGGGGAACAACAGGTTCATGGGTGGGGTCTCTGTTCTTGCTGTGGGGGACTTCTTCCAACTTCCTCCCCTTGGACGGGCAAAACCTCTTTGTGTCGCCGAGGACGGCATGCTTGATATCTGGAATGAAAATTTCCAGATGATCAGCCTGACCGAAATCATGCGGCAGAAAGATGACAGAGCATTTGCGGAGCTCCTGAATCGGATTAGAGTTAAAGGTAAAGCGGATTTGCTCAGTGATGATGACAAGACTCTTTTGATTCAAGCTGTTACTGAGCCCAAAGAGTGTCCAATGGATGTGTCCTACACATTTTTGCAACAAACAACAGGTGGACACCCATAATGCAGCAGTTGTGGCCTCTTTAGGTGCAGTAACAGTTGATATCCAGGCAGAGGACTACAAAAGAATTACAAAGACCGGAAACATGATTAACCTGGGCTGTTGCATAGCGGGCAACAAGCGAGACTTGTCTAACAACATACAGGCTGGTTTGGGTTTTAGAGTAATGATTATAAGAAACTTGGATGTAGAGGACGGTCTTGTGAATGGAACATTTGGCACCATAGCTGATATTGTCACCAGTACCAAAGACGGAAAGACTAGCGTAAAGTTAATTGGACTTAAATTGGACAATCCTCTTGCTGGACATACAAAAAAGATTCGGGTAAACCAGATGGCTTTGTTTATATTGAGAGATTTGAGGAACAGAGTAGCGTAAAGGGTGGTACGACGGCAATTTCCAATTAGGTTAGCCTTTGGTTGTACAGCACACAAAGTCCAAGGAATGACTATGAAGTCTGCAGTCATTTCTTTGAAGCGCATTTTGAACCTGGTATGGCATATGTAGCTCTCAGTCGCACAACTTCCCTGGAAGGACTTAAAATCATTGATTTCGATGAAAATAAGATCTACGCTGATGAAAATATTAGAGCAGCGATGGAATCAATGAGACCAGCATCGTTTTTGCACACCAGACCACTCTTGCATTTTCAGTCAGGTCATCAGGGTGCAACATTAACGATTGTCCACCACAATGTCGAAGGCCTTGTCTGTCACTCTGAGGACATGAACAGCATCATGAACTCATGTTGGCAGATGTCTTATGCCTTACGGAGACTCATTTGTTTGGATCTTCTGTTCCAGCTTCCTGCCAAATGGAGGGCTATTCTTTTTTTTCACGGAACAGACATGTCTCCTACTCGAACAGAGTCGACATTGCCACCAAAGAGGGTGGGGGAGTAGCGACTTACTGCCGGAGTCTTCTCCAAGCGCAGGAACGGAGATTCTTTAACGAGGTTACAGATCTTGAATTTAACGTTGTCAAAGTGGACACCCCAATCAGTGCAGTCATCGCGACAGTTTACAGGCCACCAAGTTATGATCTTGGAACATTTTTAAGAAATCTGCAAAGCCTCTTGGTTGGCCTGAATTCAATGGCTATTCATCCCGTTGTCGTATTAGGAGACTTTAATGAGGACCTTATTCCTCCTGGGAAAAAAGCCATTAATCAGTTGTTTAGAGCCAAAGGGTTTATGCAACTTATCTCTGATCCAACCACAGAAAAACGTACTCTGCTTGATCATATTTACATCTCTCATCCAGAATATTGTGTCAAATCAGGTGTCTTGCAGACTTACTACAGCTATCACAATCCTACATACTGTGTGTTGGCTTCAGTAAGTTGCATCTACAGTGGCTTGCAAAGGAGTCATGTTCCTTTAAGTTTTCCATATTTTATCACATTACAACCACAACTATGGAAAAACAGTGAAGAGGAGAAGTATTTGTTTATTTTTGCAGGTATATACTAAGTAATACACACTTTTCAGTTTATTTGCAAAAAAAATCTGTCATATTTTTAAGCCTCCCTGGTAGAGTCTATTCTGGAGTTCTGGAAAGGAGGGTCATCAAGATTCTGGAGAATGGATGGGAGTTCATCCAAACAACCTACATGTGTTTTATGGACTTTGAGACGGCATTTAACAGGGTCCCTCTGGGAATTTTGTGGGGGGTCTCCTGGAGTTTGGTGTCCAAGTCCTGTGATACGGACTGTAAGGTTTCTGTGTAACCTTACAGAATGTGGTCTGCATTACTGGCAGTAATGAGGCTCATTTCTGCTTAGAGTTGGATTCTGCCGAGGAAACAAGCCCGACTCTGCCGGCAATGCACACCACTCTCTGACACCAGTCATATGGGGACCTAACAGCCTGTATCAAAGGACCTGGACCCCATAATCCCAGAGAACCCACCCCTTGCTCCCCGAAGGAGACAGTCGAACTTCTTCTCCAAGTCCACAAAACACCTGTAGACCAGTTGGGTGAACTCCCATGCACCCTACAGGACCCTGCTCAGGGTACAGAGCTGGTCCACTGTTAGATGACCAGGGCAAAAACCACACTGCTCTTCTTGAATCTGACTTTTGACTATCCAATGGTCCGTCCTCTCCATGAACCCCAAATAGACCTTATGAGGGAGGCATCACACCCGCCAGACCTCCTTTTTGAACAAATGCCGGGAACACTGAATCAAACAGTCTCACTTATCATAAGGGTTCTACGTTATGGGTCTTTCATATTACATTTGGATGAAATATATTTGTGGTTGCAATGTAACAATATGGAACAGTTCAAGGGGTATGATTACTTTGTAAGCACTGTACATCTTAACCCTGAAATCATGACATGAAAATCTTTTTGGAGAAAATGTTAGAATCTCTCGTCATTTTTAATGTCACTTTATGTGACTGTTTGCTTTCGTAAATATGATAGCGTGGATCGTTTTTCTTGATCATTGTTGCAGTGGATTTTATATGTATTTATTGTACACATTTGTGAATTATGGTGTATGCTTGTGGATTTTGTTGTAGACATAAGAGATTTTTGTACACTTTGTGAATCTTTTCAACACTTATTTACTTCCGTAGAAAAGAGGCTTCATAAACTGGTTTTGTACTTGCACATGAAAGTTTGTTTGAGTTTTGTGAATACGAAAGTGGCTGATCTTGAAACACTTATCGGTTCACTGTCAGAGTAGTTGCTGGAAATGTTGCACCAGGGAGCAGTAGATAAGACAATCAGTTACTATATGTATATTCTGTTCTATTTGAAATTAAAAAGATTTGAAATAGGGACCATAAAGTTTTCCTAATTTTTCTAATACAGTTAGCATAAATTTTTCCCTTCAAATAAGCCTAAATTTTTTGCGGAACTACGTTTTTATTCTTCACCGTTTGCGTCACTTAATTAAAGCTCTCCTTGTTTCAATCTCTCCTCAGTCACACTGAACTTTTTAATGCTGCAGCCCCCTAGTGGCTACCTCATCATCACTTAACAAGCAGGACAAAATTTCGGCTCACTTTTGTCCTGTTGGACTCCCTCCACCTGGTGAGAATTTGTTTGGTTTTGGTGGAATTAACCCTTTGTTCTCCCAGTTTTAGTCTGTTTTTGCAGGGTTTTCCACGCAAACGATCCTTGGAGGCTGCCAAGAAGACAGAGAGGAAACAAGACCTTGAGGTTTGGCCCATAAGATGTAGAAAATTTATCTAAATTGTAGCAACCTTACAAGTTGTTACTTTTTTGTTGTTGGTAATAGCTGTCTATTGATGGAATGACTTCTGTGTGTTTTCAGTCCAGGAAATCCTCACCTACCTCATGGACTTGGGCCTCATACAATCTGAGGAGATGGAGTTCTTGTTTCTTTGAATGTTCCAGGTGGTGCAATCTGACCAGGTAAGTACATAACAAATGAAGGCTAATTTATTTGCCAATTTTGTTTATTTTAACTTGAGATTGATGACGTTGTATATCTAAGTTTGATAGGAGGAATCCAGTGGATGTATGCCCTTTTTTCTTGGGTCATATTGGTATTTATGTCTGTTAATCATTCTGAAATGTTTAAAAATGTCATGAATACTAATTTGTTTTTTGTCTGTTTTTTTTTTACTACAGAGTCTGTGATGTCACATAGATTGGATGCCAAATGAAAGCTTTGGAGCAGCGTTTTTTTTTTTTTTTTTTTTTTTTTTTCTACAGTTGTAAATAGTTTTTCATGTATGTACATATTTAAAATAGTTTCGTGTAAGAATATAGTTTAATATATGTTTCATGTATGTATATATGTATAATAGTTTGATATTTATGACAAGTTGATCATCGTGGCAAAGCCATGTTTCACTTGTGAGATTAAATCTGTCAGGCCTTACCTTGACACTCAGGCAACAACCCTGAGTGCCACACGGCCGGACAGGACACATGTAAAAAAAAAAAAAAATCGTTTTTATTGCAGAGGCATCATGTTCTGAAATTTATTGTAATCTTTAAATGTTGTAATTTTGGTTCATTATAATCTTTACCTGTAAAAAGTTTGTAGAAATCTTTAATATGACTTCAATATATATTTTTAAACTGTGATCAGTTGTGTGTGTGGGTTTTTTCATTAAAATTTTTTGTCACTTTTAATGTCACTTTATGTGACTGTTTGCTTTCGTAAATATGATAGCGTGGATCGTTTTTCTTGATCATTGTTCTTGATCATTTGCCTTAAGTGACAATAGTCACTAATGTATATTTAAAAATATTTTTTTGATTTCAAAGAAAAATGAAATAAATAAATAAAATTATAATATTATTTAACTAGTGTTATTATTGTATTATAATAATATTAATAGCATTTAGGCTTACATTAGCATTTTGGCTAATTTTAGCTTGTACACTAATTTTAACATGTTAGTCAACATGCTTGTGATTCTCCACATGCTTATTTGTAATGGCTCTAACACTGGTTAGCAAAGTTTTTGACTAGCGGGCCAGAATGGGTAATTTGACAGAGAGGCCAGGAGCATTTGGACATGCAATGTAATGTATTAAACCTGGGTATTGAAATGTATGGAAAAACAGACACAATTGAAGGTGCAAATTTAAAAGAAATCAACAGTTAGTGGAAAAAGATCAATGGAATCACTTTCAAAATATATATTTAAGAACATATTGTAATGATGCCAACACTGCAGCTGTAGTCCCGTCAAACAGGGTTTATTAGAAATAAGATTAAGAGCTGCTATTATTATGGCTGCAGCCCCTAACAAGCTGGTTCACTCCGTGACAACCGAACGCTCAACCGCCCTGTTGCTCCCACCCCCCATCATGACAGACCAATCACGTGTGAGTGGAAGTCGGCTGATTCAGAGGAAGTAAATAACGCTAAATGTAACAATAAGGAACACATTGTAACTTATAACACATAACCATGTGGAACCCAGCAGAACTAAAACAATCGTTTCAATATTATTACCCAATGAAAGAAAGGGATCTTTAAATTGAGAGCGATGTGCGGCATGTTAATTAAGCTACTGAATCGCTGCTGTGCGTAAATGCTAGAGTTGCTTTTTTTTCATAACACACTAGAGAAACTTACATCTCAGTGGGAACAGTGTTGTTCTCCCTTTTTTGCCAGTGCATCAAAGTCTGGAGTTAGTTTCGTTGTGGCAATTATCAGAACAGATCTGAGGTGTTGGTCAGTTAACAAGGATCTGTGATGAGCTTTGTTGATGTTTATGACGCTGAAAATCTGCTCACACATGAAGGTGAAGCAAACAATGCCATCTTCTGCGGCATCCACCGGAAGTTTTGGAAATGTGGCTTCGAAATAAAAGTCTTTCAGTTTAAGAGATCTCAACTTCTCTTTTGAGATGGTATCAGTCTTCAGTCTTTTACCTTAAATGAGGTATCAGCTATTTCCCTTACTTGTTACCCATGTTTAGTATACTGAATGGAGTAAGCCAGGCTTGTGACTCTCCACATGCTATTGATGACATTGCAGCGATCTTTAGCATGGATGCTAATGTTTAGCATCAGAATGCTGGGTCCAAACGACGGGCACACTTTGGCAGGGCCCCGGTTAAATTTCTTCAGGAATTTTCTAGTTATTATTATTGGGGCCTGCCCATAGCAATGCATAAGGAGAGCAGTGACTGACTTGCGAAGCAAGTCAGTCACTGCCTCCATGCATTGCATGGCAGGCACCTATTAATCTTCACCCAATAGAATGTCTCTTTATTATTATTATTATAACTTATTCTTCCGTAGACCGGAATGCGGCTCGCACCGCTGCGAGCCCACCCACAAAAGTGGTATCAAAACGTGCGGCTTGTTCCCGGCATTGGAGCTATTACTTTTATGGGGAATCGGCGTTACGACGGCGACGTAAAAAGCGAAAACGAGCGAAATTTCCAACTGCCGAAACGCAGAGCATAACTGCCACCAACTGCCGCTCCGCTAGAGTGAAAAATGAAGTGAATTTCTGACCCCAAATAAATTTTGAAATCGCCGTCACGCCCACAAATATCGTGCAATCGGTCTCAAACTCGGTCATGACATAGATACGAATGTCTGCTCCGGTAAAATGTTTTCAAAATTTTTCTAGGGCTTACGGTTTTTGTCAAGGTGCTTTAGAGCAAAATCAAGTTCCAGCCTAACTGACGCTCTCCACCATATATTTTCATACTTTTCTGGAAAATTTCAGACCTCAGCGCACACCATTTTTCTCTCATCGCTGTAATTACTATGAATGAGCTACAGATATGATTTGCAGGACTATGGGAGACAAAAAATAGCTCTCTCATATGCTTCAAACGGTTTTCCGATACGTATCACGGTTTCCGAACGGCAAGGAGTTGTTCGGGCTGCTTTTTCCATTATAACTGACTGTGCTGTCTCACAAAGATAGAAATCTGTCTCTGCCTCACACACATGACTGTTGACCTCTTTAGAACTACAATTCCTGAAGGTTAGAACTACAACATGGCGGAACACTCAGTGCCTACAAAATAGGCCAGAGCTGATTGTCAGAACTACAACATGGCGGAACTGTCAGTTACTACTGAGGAGGAATGAGCTGGCCTTTAGAATTACATTGTGTTTGGGTTTTTATAACTGATTGTAAGCAACCATTGTTACAGACAGGATTAGTTTGGCAATTTTAAATTAAGCTTAATAAAAATTTCGAAATAAAACCTTGAATATTTCTCTCAGGCCTGTCAGAAAAACTAACTTCTTCAAGCACTTAGAATTAAGTCTCTCCTTGTGTGTCACACTGACATGACAGTTGACCTCCTCTTTAGAACTACAATTCCTGAAGGTTAGAACTACAACATGGCAGAACACTCAGTGCCTACAGAAGAGGTCATAGGTGAATATAAAAACTACAACATGGTGGAACTGTCAGTTACTGCTGAGGAGGAATGAGCTGGCCTTTAGAATTACATTGTGTTTGGGCTTTTTATAACTTATTTTAAGCAGCCATTATTACACACAGTTTTTGTGTGGAAACTTTAAATTAAGCTTAATGAAAATTTCAAATAAAACCTTGAATATTTCTCTCAGGCCTGTCAGAAAAACTAACTTCTTCAAGCATTTAGAATTAAGTCTCTCCTTTTGTGTCACACTGACATGACAGTTGACCTCCTCTTTAGAACTACAATTCCTGAAGGTTAGAACTACAACATGGCAGAACACTCAGTGCCTACAGAAGAGGTCATAGGTGAATATAAAAACTACAACATGGTGGAACTGTCAGTTACTACTGAGGAGGACTGAGCTGCTCTTTAGAACTACAATTCCTGAAGGTTAGAACTACAACATGGCAGAACACTCAGTGCCTACAGAAGAGGTCATAGGTGAATATAATAACTACAACATGGTGGAACTGTCAGTTACTACTGAGGGGGACTGAGCTGCTCTTTAGAACTACAATGACTGCAGGTTAGAACTACAACATGGCGGAACACTCAGTGCCTACAAAAGAGGTCAGAGCTGATTGTCAGAACTACAACATGGCGGAACTGTCAGTTACTGCTGAGGAGGAATGAGCTGGCCATGACAAGTACTTGGTTTTTGGGAATTTTAGAACTGATTTCAAAACTCCATAGTTACACATGGATTAGTGTTACCATTAAAATTAAGCTTAATGTAAATTTCAAAATAAAAGCCTTGACAATTTTTCCATCAAGTAATTGCTCTTTTGACCACTATATAACTGATTTAACCCAATCAGTGTTAAACATGGGATGAGATTGGCCATTTAAAATTAATCTCAATGAAAATTTCAAAATAAAAGCCTTAAGATTCCTTTCTGGCTCATGCCTATTTTAGGCAAAATGGCTGCCTCAAACTGATAGAATTAAGTCTCCCCCTGTCTGACTCACAGCTGGCAGAGGATCCATTACCATGGCAACGGAACACAAAGGGGCCAGCTGATTAGGACTACAAAAACGCATCACTGTAGTTCTAACTATGGCAGAACTCAGAGAAAAAAGCTGGACTTTAGAGCTGCTTGTGTTTTGGGCCTTTTATAACTATTTTTAACCAACCATTGTTACACATGGAATTAGTGTGGAAATTTTAAATTAAGCTTTAAAAAAAATTCAAAATAAAAGCCTTGAGAATTTTTAGATTAAATAAGTGCTCTTTTGACCATTATATGTCTGATTTAACCAAATCACTGTTATACATGGGATTACATTGACTATTTAAAATGAAACATTCTGAACATTTCAAAATAAAAGCCTTAAGATTCGGCCGTGGCTAATGCAGCGCCGCAGGCGCTGCAATGATATTAGCTTGCATTATCTTTTCCTCTCAAGTTAGGACACTGTCTTGCACAGCAAGACAGTGCATTAGCATTAGCTAATTAGCATTTCTCTGTTTCCCACCAGTGCACTGCCGTAGGCAGTGCAATAAGATTATCCTCCATGATCCTTTACACTCAGGTTAGGGCTCTGCCTTGCACAGCAAGGCAGAGCATTAGCATTAGCCTTTTACCTTGCATGAGGTATTAGCTATTTCCCTTACTTATTAACCATATTTACTATACATGCTTGTGACTCTCCACATTGTATTGATGACATTGCAGCTTTCTTTAGCATGGATGCTAATGTTTAGCATCAGAACGCTGGGTCAAAATCGACGGGCACACTTTGGCAGGCCCCGGTTAAATTTCTTCAGGAATTTTCTAGTTATAGAACTTTATTTTTCTTCCGTAGACCGGAATGCGGCTCGCACCGCTGCGAGCCCACCCACAAAAGTGGTATCAAAACGTGCGGCTCGTTCCGGCATTGGAGCTATTACTTTTGTGGGATTCGGAGTTACGATGAAAAAGTAAAAAGCGAAAAACCATCAAAAAATTTTTGTCAGTTAGAAACTGCCCAAACTAGAGTGTAACTGACGTTTCGTTAGAGTGTGGGAAGCAGTGCGATTCTGACCCCAAAATATTTTTGAAATCGCCGCCACGCCCACAAATATCGTGCAATCGGTATGAAACTCGGACATGACATCGATACGTATGTCTGCTCCGGTAAAATGTTTTCAAAATTTTTCTAGGTCTTACGGTTTTCTGTCAAGGTGCTTTAGAGCAA